TTTTGTATGCTTTCATGATATTTTTTTGCCTTCTCAAATTCCTCGGCACAAAGATATGTACCTTCTGGGAACAGCAATGGGTTCAAGAATCCGCCTTCTTGTATTGTTTTTTCACAGCTTTGTTGCAAACTTTCAAGATCGTTGTTAACTTGATTCGGATCGCTGGGCTTTCCGTTTCTCGCGAGGAAAACTGAATCAAAGGCCTCTAACAGATATCCAATAAATGGCGCCTTCCTCAATGAGGCTTTCATTGTGATCATAAGGTTATCAAAATATCCAAGTTGCTCTATCGTATAGGAAACAAACATCCAATCAAAATCGCTGACGTGATTTGAGATTGTGATAAAATGTGAGGACCGTAGATTTTTTGGCACATTACAGTAGATAACGGTAAAGCTCTTTGAGAACCAAAACCTAAGCATTGCGTATCCTAAATGAAAGATGTAGTATTTCATTCTTCGATATATACTTTTTTGAGCACTTCTAGCCAAGCGGATGTGTCTTGCAACAAATACGATTGTCATCGCCATCAACAGATGGATGATAGCTATTGGAATTCCCACACAGAGATACAAAATGCATTTAATTTTTTGTATCATCTCCCCCTCCTTTTCGGTAAAATTTATTACATCCCCTTTCAAAAAAATAAAAACCAATAGAATTAAAAGTAATGTTAAAATAGAAATCAAACATAGAATGTGGAACAAAATAGATAAAAAGCACTTTACCTTCATGCCTCCAAACGTAGAGAAAATATGCTACTATTCCGCGATTACAGCTTCTAAACAAACTTTATTTAAAAATTTTAAGATATGAAAGATGCATTACATCCATGTTTTGACAGAACAAACGATCAACCCAACCCAGTGCAACAGATAGTAACAAGTGGCGTACTAAATAAGATGAATGGGTTGATCTTCAAAGAATAAATCTTAATATGAGAACCAGCGCCACTATCCCAATCAGGAGAATAATGAATAAAGACTTATCTCCAGCAAACCTTGATTCTATTCTACTCAGTGTTTCATTACTAACGCCTAGCCTGAATGCTCCTCGTCTCAGAGTTTCGTTTATTCGATCAATGTAAACGCTTTGGCGTCTTAATGATTCAAGGGAGTCCATCGAAGTGGAAATGAAATCGTCAAGCTTGCTGCTTTGTGCTGCAAAAAACCCGCTTTGGCCCATCTCCGATCCAAAATCACTCATTTCAGTGATTTTCTTTGTTCTGATTTTTGAGTCCATTAACTCATTCTCAAGCTCCTGTTTTTCTTTGCTTCTTCTCTCGCTAAGCTCTCTTGCCTTGCTTTGAAAGGATGATGCTTTTATTTTCAACACCTTCACTTCCTTGTCGCTGGGATCTTCTTTTGCAAGCAGATTCATTAGAGACTGTGTTTTGATAACCAGGCTTCCGACTTTTTTCAAATCCTTGTTGCATAGCTCAATTTCATTTTCTATTTCATTGGCCATTATTTTTAGCTCCCCAAGACTCATGTATGGGACAAATGTTTAGCAAATAAAAGAATAACACTTACCATTTCAGACATCAAAATAATTAGTATGATAAAAACACTGATAAGAATTCTCGATAGTAGAACAACCATGGTTAAAAGTTAATTTCTTGAACTAAGGCTTATTTATTCTTTTTTTGGTAGTTTTGTCCGCGAAAGTATCCCCTCACCTATTGTTTTAATTACCGATCCCACCAAAAACACAACACATGCAAATAAAGTCCATTTAAGCATGCTTGATGTATATTTTCCGCCCGAATCTTGCATTCTCCTGACCTTTCTTTTTATACTTTCAATCTTCCTTGCCAACTCACTTGCCATACTTTCAAGTTCATTGATTTTTGAATTCATTGCATTCTCGTGTGATGCAGTATCCAACTTGGAACGGTCGTTTACAATACCAGCAATTGAATCAAGCGAGTCCTTCAGGATCCTCAGCTTCTTTTTGATCGAAAGCACCATCTCAACAATATTATTGTTATTTTTTGAACCCAACACTATTGCTAGGTAGCTCATGAAGTGGTTTACATCGGCTATTGCAAGTCTTAGCTCTTCATCACTCTTATTCCTGGGATACTGATTGAACTCAGTATGAAGATCTCTCATATCGTATCTGTCAGATTCTTCTCTGGCCAATATTCGCAGATCCTTCAACTCAAAAAAAATATCACTCGGGCAGTGCTCGTACTTGGTTGTTATCGCAAAGATCTTTTCACGGCTGTGTTTATTCATTATTAAAGGCTCATGGATTCTAAATGAGTCCGAGAACAAGTTGCCCTTATCATCAAACAGCTCAATTTTAAAGTTCTTTTCGGTATGAATGATTTTGACCTTGAATTCATCCAAATGGTCAATGAGTGTGGGATTGATACGGTCAAACCTAGTTGTTTGCATGTCTTTATTTCCAAAATCCAAGCCGTAGTTGAATGCAAAAACAACATCAGACCTTTCCTTTGAGAACTCGATTCCCGTGACAAAGCCGTTAAATGTTGGTGACCCTCCTTTATAATTTCCTTTTTCAAGTGGTTTGTCTAAGTACCACAGATATATTCCGGCCTTTTCAATATCTTTTAACATAAGATTCTTGACTGTAAATTCAGTTGACCAATTATCTGATGTTGTTTCTTCTTTAATATTGATCAGACTTCCATCACCAGAGCTGGATCTAAGAATTATTGAGCCATCCATCTTTCTAATGTTATAGAACTGCGAATTGGCTTCTAGTGTCTTTTGATCATTGATGCTTGTGATCTCGCTTTCGAGAACGTGGCTATTGTGATGCGCTGCTTCTTCGCCTTTTAAAAACCCCAAGAGACATAGAACTCCTAGTCTTACCATGCTTTGATTGACTATTTTGAATTTAAAGAATGTGTTTCATCGTATTTGTTTACCTGCATCACAAATTTTAGTTCAATACCAGAAACTATAGACTGCAGAATATCTTCTCCAATAGCTTATTCGCAAATGCAAATACGCACCAGACAGACATTCCTGTTTATTTTATATAGCATTGTGTGTCCTTGAGAATGTTTATATTTTGTTTTTAGATCTAGGCTGAAATTTCCATTGGATGCCGTCCACCCTGATGAGAAAAATTACGATCGCAGATTTCAAGGGGGATGCATTCAATCCAATGACAGTGATTGAATGCATTTCCGAATTTGATATACGAAACACAGAAAAGGCATTGTCTGAAATATCAGATGGGAACTTCGAGCTTGACTCGCTCAAAGAAGCAATCTTCTTCAAAAAGGAGAAAATGAAACAAAGTCTCAGTGAACAGAAAGAGCAAATGCTTGATGAGCTTTGCAAGGAGCTAAAGCACACGCTCAATGATATTGAGCTACAGGAGCCCACAAATGCATCCGAAATTTTGCAGGAAAGAGGAGAGCTTGTTCAGCTAAAAGACGCTTTCAAGAATAATGAAGTACAGCCTGAACATTGACAAATCAGAAGTCCAAGTTTTAGAAGCACTTCTAAACAGCGAAGACACAGAGGATTGGATGATTCTAGCCGAAATGATATACATACATGTTAACTATGGCATGGGTGATAAAACAAACTTTCTCAATTTTTCAAAAAAACTTGAAGAAAAAATTTCAAACATTTTCCAGGAAAGCCTGAATGGAAACAATTTGACAGCCTGTAAAACCTGCTTTGATATTCTGACCACTATTGAAAAGCAGTATGCTCTAATTGACATATTTCTCCTGTCAAAAAGCCTACTTACAACCGATGTCAATGTGTATCCACAGCCGCTCACAACTGTCGATCTTAGCTTGAAGGTTTTAGATAACACAACATTTGAGCAGTTTCTGAAAAACGTCATCCAAATTCTTGAGGACAATTACATCATTATTTGTAGGGTTTTTGGCCTCTCTGATGAATACTGTGAGTATATTTTTTCGAAAATTTCCAAAACCTTAATTTCCATGAGTCTTAACAGTTTTCTGAATGTTTCAAGTTCTTCCATCTATTTGATATGCTTGCAATCTGCCTTTGTCCATCTTCAGTCGTTTGGTGGATTCGTAAAATCACTGTTTCCCAAGATCGACTTTGAGTCTAGCTTCCATGAGATATTTAGCCAGTTCATTTATAAGGCAATTATGAAAGAAACTCAGATTTTTGAAGAGGTTTTGGAAATTTACCTGTCGGGTGCGAAGACTCTGAACATGTATACACTGAATGGCGCAAAGGTTGCAAAAACCAATAACTATGTCAGGATTTATGAGAACATGTTTGTTTTAATTGACTCGTTTCTCAATAGAAGAGAAATGCTGTATTCTGAGGAAAACGAAGTCGAGGTTTTGAAATTTTGCTCCAAAAAACTGTGCATTTTGATTGACAAAATGGTATCGTCGAGCAGAGATTGCTGGGATACGATGAAGGATCTATTTCATAGCTATTTGCTTAACAAAAGATTTCTTGGAGAGAAATTTCAAATGTTTGACACCTGCAATATGAAGCTAACCGATGCCACGCAGCAAGAGTTTGAATCAATGGTTGGAATGATCAAAACATTCATGAAAGGTGAGATATTAAACATGTTTTTCGGTGAAAAAGGTTCTCACATAAAGCTTTTGGAGTATCTAAGGAGAATACACGAAAAATCGAAAGAGCTGGGTGAAAGAAACACGAAAATACTGTTCTACAGAATATTGGACATCATCTATCATTTACTATATACTCAGATCCAGCATATTAATTTTGACAAGAGCAGACTAGCCAATGTTTTGCAGTGTTTGGATGATCTTTCAGGATACTTCTCAATTAATGTTTCGCCCTCTCTTGAGACCAAATTTAACCATCTAAAGCTGATGTGTGAAATGATTTGCGCAGACCAGAGCCAGTTTAAGGCAATGATTTCTCAGCATCGCATTTCGTTTGCAGAAAAAGAACTTCGTGATATTCTCAAATGCAGAGATGGCAAAGGAAATACAAAGGATATGGTATTCAAAAACTCACCTGCACAACCATGAGTGCACATTGCAATGAGTATATAGACCTCATAGTTAAGGCAATGCTGACCACCATGCTTTGCTAGGCAAATAGTTTTACTAGCACTGGCACATCAAATAAATCAAAGTTAATCTACAGCATAGTCTTTCATCCACAAATATATCCGATTTGGAAGAATGAATGCTATTTTGACACACGTATGCGTTTGAATCAAAACATTTTGTTATTTTGCTCTTATCTCACACTCCTTATTGTCTTTTTGAGCGTATTCAAAGGGCTTTCTACATCTCATATCATCCAATGTGGAGCAATAGTCTAAGTATTCTTTCAAGCAGTCCAAGCATCTATCCTGAGGATCGCCATTGAATATTGGCACTAATATTCCGTTATCTATGTCAGAACAAAATGAATAGTCTCTATCATCTACAAGAAGTACTTTTGAAAGATCTCTTCCAAGAATTTTAAGATCTTTTGAAAAAAAGTCTTGATTCCGATTATTTTTGCCAATTAAAGTACAGAATCTCCTGTCCAAAAAGTAACTAATCCTCATTTTCCTATCGATTTTTTTCATCACTTTAACCCCATACTGTCGTATGCCAGCAGTGAACAAAATCACCTCGTATTTATTTGCAACATGCTCAAGAAAAGACTGCAGCCCTGGCCTTTCGACAATCCAAACGGGCTGTGCTTTTCCGTTATAATTAACTGTGATTTTATGGTCAAAATTTGTCAATTCTTTGATTGTCGAAAAGATTAAGGTATTGTCCAGATCGAGGACAAGAGTAGGTTTTGAATCAAGCGCAGGGGGGAGACATCTGATTGTATGAGGTAGAGATGCATTATAGCTTGTATGCTCATCATCATCTGTTTCAACCAGCCTAAACACTTCAGCACTGGATAACGCATGTAAGTCTTGAGCAGACCTGCTGGCGTACTCATTTGATTTCAAAGTATAAGAAGGTATATTTCGCTCTGTCAAAACTTTACTCTTCAGAGCTTCGTCTTGCGAAACAAATACAACATTTCTGCTTATTTGTAACTCTTTTTCTGTGCGGCAACAAAAATATTTTTGAAGCAAGGACATCAGACTCATAAGGGCTCATATATTTATATTAGTATAAAACACGATTAAAAACTGAAATCTATCATACAAATCACCATTTACTAGGTCACATTTTCTTCAGATACACATCTATGTCTTTTTCATCAAGTAAGGCCACACCATCTCCAGAAACTGGCTGGGCCATTTCTTTGTAAAACATTTTAGCTATTGAAAGTGCCATGTCAATGCTCAGTCCACAGTTTCCTTTTTCTATTCTCTCTTGGATCCATTTCGGCATTTTGCTGATTTTACTTTGTGCTCCAAATCGTTGATCTGCCATTATCATCAATCCATAGTCGGTCTTATTCCTCAGCACTCGTCCTAGACACTGTGCTGCGTGTCTCATTGCATCAAACACGAGAAACTCATACTCCTTGATACCATGCTCCTGTCTCATGTATTTTAGCCTCTCTTTTAGCCGTACGCTCTCCGTGTACATAAACGGAACACCTAGCATTACCACTGCCCTGCCATATCCGTGCTCAAAATCTACACCTTCTGAAACTTTGCCCCTTGCCACACTAAAAAGCACTGCGCCTCTACCCATATCGCAAGCCTTACGATAGTTTCTCAGTGCCGTTTCGGTTTCTCTAAAATCAGGAGTCTCAATAAATACCAGTTTGCTTTGCAAAATCTCCTCCATGACGTTTGATTCGGACCACAATGTTATCACCTCCTCCATATAGATATACGAGGGGAAAAACACGACTATGTTATCGGGCACTATTTTGCTTAGCGATGTTATCAAATTGCCATAGTTCCTAACCACTGAAGGATCTGCTCTCAACGCAAAGGATGTTGTGATTTTGCCATCCGCTTGTGACATGCTGCTCTTCTGCATTTCCAACATTTCATATTCATCATCTTTTGAATTCTTCAGCAGCATCTGGTCGTCTCCTTTAGTGATAATCAAAGGTGACGTCGAGTTCCTGCATAGGGTAATGCCTATCTCTACTATGCTAGAAGGCACAAAATTCAGTATTTTCGGATACATTTCAATTGGACTGAGTGTTCCACTCGTAATTATGACGTTTCTAAAGTTTTTAAAAACATGGGACATTGCAATGCTGGCATCGAGACATGAAAGCCTAAGAACGGGATTGAATACCCCAGACATCGTATCATAAGGTTCGAATATCACAGAAAATCCTTTTGAATATATGCTTAGCATTGTTCCAAAGTTAGCTATTGATAAAAGTTTGTATAATTCGTCATCCTCAACTCCCAAGCTTTGGACCATAATTCCCATTCTTTGAGATACAAAAGATAGTGTTTTCTTGTCAATAAAGGTTAGCTCCTTGATGCTTTGTATAAACGACTTGATTGATTCTACTGTCAAGTGTGTCGTTTTGAGCTTAGTTTTTAAAAACTCAATTAATCTTTTCATAACACTAACAAAGTGACTGGCATTTCTCAAATTCCCAGGTGCCAGCTCAGGCTTGTTTGTGTTAAAAAAATGGGGTATTGTATTTTCGCCCGTATACTCCATGGTTTTAAACATCAGCTCATATTCTTTCCTTAATCTCCTATCTATTTCCTGCTTTTTGCTCTTTATCTTGCTTTCAATAACTGACATAATTCTGGAGGCTGCTTCAAGAGTGTTCCTGGAAATTTCAATACTCAGGGCCTCGATGCAGTGAGAGTCGATGTTGTGAGCTTCATCAAAGACCACGAATGAATCTTTTGGAAGCTCTTTGGATATTATGCTAAAAATAGATGGCTCAATCAGATAATTGTAAGGGTAGATTATACAATCAAACAGTGGTAGATGATTTCTTACAAAGAAATACGGACACACTCCCATCTTAGCTCCAAGCTCTTTGATTTCTGTGAAATCATACACACCGTACGGTATTGATGTTGCTTTGTTTTCATAAAAATCGCATTTCATGTTTTCAAAGTGATTAGTCATCTTTCTACATGTGATTTCGACATCAAAGCTTCCCAAAGCTTCTTTATTTATGCACATATTGCCTCTTTTGCTTAGCCCAACCCCTAGGAAATCAAAACTAACATGTTTTTTGATGTACTCAACGAGACTCCTCAACTCTTTCAGCGCCTTGTCTATTTCTGGAAGTGTTCTCGAGCAGTAAACAATTTTAAACGGCACTCCCTTCGCCTTCATGTGAAGTTGATAGGAAACCGTGCAGCTGAGAAGAGCTACTGTTTTGCCTGTTCCCGATGGCATTTCAATAAGAACGTGTCCCGGGGTTTGGATGCTTTTTAGAAGAGACTTTATATATTTCAGCTGTTCTGGGTATATTTTTTCGTATGGAAAGTAGATTGGCACGCCGTCAATCAAGAATCTCATTCTAGGGACTTAAGATTAAATCGATTATATTCTAGCACCAAATGTGCGTGTGTATGAAAGCTAGTATGTTTAAATACAACCATGTCTTCGGAGATTAGATGAAGTACTAGCATTGACTTTTCTTAAGATGACAAAATTGAACACTGTGCTAGTTTTATGCAAAATCAGCTTTGACCTCAAATGGCCCAGCTCGAAGGGAAAATCTTTCAGTACAACAATAAAGAGTCTTTAGCATTCAAAAATGGCGTTGAATCAGACAATACTGTTGTCTTGATAGGAGGACTAGGAGACAATGTTCTTAGCTTACCATACTGCACACTTTTGAATGAATTTTGCAAGAATAACAGGCTGTCATTGATTATACCGCAACTTAGATCAATGCCAAAGTACAAAACTACTTCTGTAGATTTTGACGTTGAGGACATAAGAGATGTTGTTGCTGGGACCAATGGGCATGTCGCACTTATAGGGCACTCAACAGGCTGTAATGACATATTATTGTTCTTGAATGAATATAGACCTGAGAATGTCAAGTGTGTAATACTGCAAGGTCCTGTCAGTGATACAGAATCGATATCAAGAGGCAAAGTAGATGCAGTCCTTGAAACAATCGAAAAGTCTGATGGTAGCCAAAAGTATGTTGAGCTCAGTGATAACTCAATTTGGCTAAAAGAGCGCTATATTTCATTATACTCGATAAACGGAAAAGAAGATTTATTTAGTAGCTATTTAAGCGACGAATTGTTTTCGAGATGGAGAGGAACTGTTCCAATTCTTAGTATTTTGTCAGGCAAGGACGAATACTGTGAAAATCCTCCCATTAGAAAATTCGAACTAATGGGTGATGTGCAGGTAATTGGAGATGGGGACCACAGTCTTTCTTCCGAGAAATGTCAGGCTGAGTTTATAAACATAGTTTATCAGTTTTTAACTAAAGTTGGTTTTTAAGCAAATAAGCTTGATTGTCTTGACACAGATATTGGCAAGTTTTTGATATTCAAATCAGGTATATAAACTTAAATAGCTTATATTACAGCACATCACTGGGATTCATATTGCTGATACCATAAATCCATATTTAGATCAGCACACCACTTTGTATTTTGCACTATGTGTGTCATCTTGCATCAAGAGTTTTTAAGATAATATTCATAGGCTACGATGCCTGCACTTCCATGCCTTCTTCAAAGATCCCTCATGAACCAGAATGTCTTGCAAAAAACATTAGAAAATTTGGAGAATCTTGTATTACCACCGAAGGAACTGCTAGTTGATATTGTAAACCAAGCAAAAAGTGTTTTTGAAGAAGAAGAAAACATTCTGTACGCCAACGGTAGCTCTGTGGTTGTTGGGGACTTGCATGGCCAGTTTTTCGATTTCCTAAACATGCTGAATATGATTAAAGACGATGTGAATATTGTTTTTCTTGGGGATTACGTTGACAGGGGATTTAATTCCGTTGAACTGATCACTTACCTTTTGGTTTGCAAAATACTGAACAAAGATAAAATTGTTTTACTGAGAGGTAACCATGAAAATCGATCGCAAACGGCCGTGTATGGGTTTGAGGAGGAGTGCCTACTAAAATATGATCATTACATTTATTGGAAGTTTTGTGAGGTTTTTGAGCTTTTTCCTGTTGTTGCCATCATCAATAAAAAGTATTTCTGTGTCCATGGTGGAATTTCACCCAGTCTTACATTGGAATGGATCGATGGCCAGGATAGAGTCCAGGAGTATTCTCAAGTTAGTTGTATTCTGTGGGGAGATCCTGCTGATGATATTGATACATTTGAAACGAGCCAGCGAGGTGCTGGATACCTCTATGGAAAGGTGGCAGTGGATGAATTTTTAAGAAGCGTCGGTTGTGAGTATTTAGTGAGAAGCCATCAGCTGATTTCAAGGGGATTTGAAGAAAAGTTTGGTGGAAGATGCATAACAGTGTGGAGCGCGCCTAATTACTGCTATAAATGCAAAAACATAGCTTCATTTATGATGATTACACAGGAAACCCACAAATTTATATTATTTGAGGCCTTGGCCGAGCAGTATAGATTATAAATACCTAACCAACAATGGCCTGTAGTCTGTTGCTATTTTGCACTTCAAGTGCCTGCTTGACGATGCTTTAAATATACAGGCTGGTCTTAAAAGACGAAAATTTTTTCAAAAAATTTACTTGCCCTCAGATGGTAAATGTTCCAAAAACAAGAAAAAACTACTGCCAAAAGTGCAATAAGCACGAGGAAATGAAGGTTTCTATATACAAGCAGGGAAAAAGGAATCCCAACAGACAGGGGGAAAGAAGGTATCGTATCAAGCAAAGGGGATACGGAGGTCAAAAGAGACCCATTCTGAGAAGAAAGGCCAAGGTCACCAAGAAGCCTGTTCTTAAGCTTGAATGTAAGACATGCCACTCAAAGGTTATGAAAGCTATACATAGAGCCAAGCATGTCATGATTAGCAACGAGAAAAAGGTTAAAGGACAAGCACTAACTTATTAAATATTCTTTCTAGTTTCAACATCGCTTTATAAGCTATCTGATGGCGTATTTTGGAGTCTATGCTAAGGTGTATATGTATTGGCTTTTATCTGGAATGCTTCAATTACATGTAAGAATGCTGGAAAAGCATCCATTCAAATTGCAGTGCATTGCACAGACATGGCTATATGGAGCCACAATAGTCTGTATCGCAAGAGACACAATACAAGATGCACGGTGTTAAGATGGGAAGCATGGATGAGCTGTGGTACAAATAATCGACGCACTCTATGAGATGAAGTGACAAAGTTTCCCACAAAGTATATCAATGGTCCAATATTGTGCTAATGAATCATCCAGTCATAGTATATGATTTGTATAACATGTGTTTCAAATTAGGTCTGAAACCGTAAATCGCACAAAATCGAGAATACCAGGAAAAACATGAATATTGCACACATTGCGATCTTTACTCTATCCATCTTTAGTAAAAGAACAAAGAGAGAACATGGTGCCTCCTATAAACTTAATAATAACACAAGGGATGGGATCGCGTCGATAATCGAGCAGGGAAATGCACTCATAAAAGAAATAAATAACATACTTGCCGAATCGAATCTATACCTATTCCCGCAGGGCCGGAATGCACCAGGCAAATCTAACATTTAGTGAATAAACTTTACTACTATTTCAAATTTTAATATTTACCTTGCCACCATATAGTAGATTAGCTAGCTTATCAATCTGGAAATTTTGAAGTTTTCCTATACCCATGGAAAATGCAAACCCATTTGTGAATGAAAAAACGTTGCCGAGCCATGAAATACATCTTGTGGATGGAAAATTAGCGGAAATCACACAAAAATCAATTTTTGAAATACTCAGAAGGATTAGAGATCCAGAGCATCCATATAACCTTGAACAACTGAATATAATCTCGCTCGAAGACATAGGCATTTCAGAACTACAGGATAGGACTGTGCTATGTTCGGGCGGGCAGCCAATAAAATCGATCGAAGTAGTGTTTACGCCTACAGTTCCACATTGCAGTATGGCTGGAATTATTGGATTAAGCATAATTTATCAATTGCTAAACTTCACGCAAAATCACCATATTATTGTAAGAATCAAAGAGAACACACATAGTACATACCAGGCATTGAACAAGCAACTGTCCGATAAAGATAGAGTTTTGGCAGCATTTGAAAATGAAGGATTGGTTGATGTAATAGAGTCGTGTATCGAAGGAGCCATGCAATTTAGCGGTAGAAGCTGTGAGAATTAGAAATAGAAGTCTCTAAATTTGATATGTCCTATAAACTGTCTTTAGTCGTATACTTGGTCTGTTAGGTGCTTACATATAACTGTGTCTACCAATAATATTAATATACGAAACTGTGTTGTTAGATGCGCACTGTAAACATCATCCATCTGTGTTTTGATAAGTTTATTATATTATAATCTTCTCATATGCTCTATCTATGGATCTAAAATGTTTTGGCCAATATTCCACACAGTACTTCTTTCTGAAAAATATTCCATTGCCCCTTGGGCTGCCAAGTAGAAAGTACTTTAGTGGCCCAAAAACATCCTCGATATTATGTCTAAGCCCTAGGTTATATGGAGAATCAGTCTCGGAATATCCATAGTTATAGCAGTTTATTGATTCTATGAAAGTAATATTCAAAAGAATCATGGAAACCTGGGCATGCAAATGAAAACAGCTTACACACATTAATAAGAGGCTAGCAGTAAATGATAAAAGAAGAATGGCCCACATCAGCTGTGTTGGTTGGTAGCTGTCGTACTTTATAATTTCAACTAAGTAGTAGCTATTGAAGGCAAAAACAGCCGACGAGTTCAAGAACATGCATAGTAGAAAGCGTACAAAGTGGCCATGGTTGTCATAATTTATACATCTCCCTAGCCAGTGGCAGTGATGGTCCATCTTCTTGATACATTTCTTGCAAGTTGAGCAGTGGTGGGACCGCTCTGGCTTAAACTGCATGCAAATGTGGCAAGATCGAGACTCTGGGGATAGCTCAATATTTGTGAAGTCCTTTAGCACTACATATCCTCTGTAGCACAGGCAGAGAGTGGCGTATACCAGTGTCAGACTTCCCGAACAACAAATGAAGACAGCGCAGTAAAAGGAATACCAACTTTCTATCGAGAGGATATAGTATTTCGTGGGAAATACGGTAATAAAGAGCACAGTCAAATACATAACTAGTCTTGCAACTCTCTCTGATGATCTTGTCATTTCAAGGGATCATTGAATGTTGACATTGTTAGTAAAGAGACAAAGAAAATAAGCGGAGAATGCAGACTAACCAACGTAGGCAGCAGCTTATTTATTCAGTTGAAAAATACAGGCTTCATATACAACATGGAAGGATCCAGTGCGTATCTTCAATTTTATCTTAATCAATAAATAAACTATGGGACTGAAGCATAACTGATTAGATCAATTAAGTCGAAAATCCGTGCTTTCATTCATAAAGCTAGCCTGATGAGTTAGGCTGGAGCAGCTTGTTGTAGACTAAAATGGCATTTCAAAAGACAATAATCTCTATTGTGTAGGGTGTATAGCTCAGTGGTAGAGCCTTCGGCTGCAACCCGATATGTCGCAGGTTCGATCCCTGCTGCACCCTCATAATTTTTCTTTTGCTCCCACCCATGGACATCAAGGATGCAGCATTCTTAGCCATTGTTGACTCTGCAAAAAACATTTTGCTTTCATACAGCTGCGAAGAGTTCGATAGACATGGACTATTGTCGTCTTTGGGCGAGGAGAACGGGCAGGTTTTCATATTTAAGGATCACACGGTCTTTGTTTCCAGAATAAATGATATCTCAGTTCTTTTGGTAACATTTCCTGAATCGAATGAAATATTTGTGTCAAAAGCATTTGAAGCATTGGTAAATAGCTTGTCCAGAGTAATTAAGAACTGGTGCATAGAACGAATTGCTGAAAAATACGATCAGCTCCAACTCATCTTCCACGAGTTTGTGTTCAAAGGAATCATTCTTGTTGACGAAGAAGATGAACTAAGCTCAAGAATAATGAAAAGAACCTTTGAAAACATGAATGCAATTAAGGTCAATAAAGGATTTGCCTCTCTCCTGAACAAGGCTACCAAGTCATTGAGAAAATAAAGTGCAGTGGACAACCAACAAACTAGCGACTTTGGCGTCTGTACTAGAAACTTTGATCTTCTTAAGACTAATGCTATATTAAACTCTTCCTCTACTCTTCACTGATTTTTTCCAAAAGGTTAAATAAATTAGCTTGTAGCACTTCAAGATTAGTATAGACCTAAGACCTTATATATAGCAAACACCATTGGAATTACTTAAAAATACTTGGATAATGAGCTTCAATTAAAGAGATAAATATAGTTTGCATTGGCTAGAAACCAAAAGAGCGTTTAAAAAGTACTGCTTTATTCAGCTGTGCTCATCCCATATTCACATTTTTCCATAGCTATCGATTATGCTTTGGACTGTTTCCCTGCTTGCATCAAACAGTGAAAGATCTGTGTCAAATTTCTTGTACATCTCAATGAACGCATTTCTTTTCTTGAGTTGGTCAAACTGTGCTGTTATTTTCTTAAGAAGTGTGGCAATACCTGTTGTGTTGTGTAGGCATAGCCCACTTACTCTATTGAACTCGGGCTTTTTTCTGGAAATCGCAGTAAGAAAGAATGGCGGAATGCCTTCCACAAAATTAACTGCCCTTCGGCTAAAGACCGATTCAACGTACCGGCTGACCTCTGATGCATCACTTACTCCTTCAAGAATATTGAAAAGCGATAGACTAGCATTAGTCTTATATGTCTCAAATGTGCAGAGCTTGGTCTTGGGTAGTATCAATCTTCTCATCACATCGCTAACAGTTGTAGCTCGAACAACCTGATGAAGCTCATCGCAGGTAAATGGTGTATAGCTAGGAACAATGAATTTAAATTCCGGAACAGGCACAGTACAGCTCAGAATAGATCTATAATCACAATACATATGGGTTGGATATCGAATCGTAGATGTATACGAAGACATAACTGTAGATACAAGTGCATTCAAAATATTAAAGCTTACATTCTTTGTACGGATGGAGTCAAATGTTACCTGCCCTAAGGCATGGTTATCCATCACAATGACGTTATCTGCGTATTTGCTTAAGTAATTAAGCGTCAATATGGTATTATAAGGCTGAACTACAACATCGCTTCCATCTTCATTTGCTGGAAGAATTGAGAACGTCGTTAAAATCTTTTTGGGAAAGTAGTCTCCAATGCTTTCAAGCATCAAGGATCCAAAGCCCGATCCCGTGCCGCCTGCAACACTGTGCATGATGTTGAATGCCTCTAGCGATTCGCAAGCCTCGGCCTCTCTTTGGACTATGTCCATGACGTCCTCCTTGAATCTATTGGCCACGAAGTATCCGTGTGCCCAGTTGTTACCAGCCCCGCCACCTTCATTGGAAACAAACATATTTTCCCTGTTGAATATTGGCGCACACTGTCCTATTACTCTTGGCTCTAGATCAAGAAGGATGGATCTTGGAATATACCTGGAATCATCGGCCTGGTAGAAAAATACATCTTTTCGGTCATTTTGGTTGTCAAGCAGTGTTCCATCCAGTGAGATTTTATGTTCTGAGCATAGCTTCTTCCAAAACTCATTTCCTATTTGATTTCCACACTGTCCTATTTGCAATGCCACTATCTCGTGCATGGGGTAAGTGAAAACAATATCGGGAAATAGATAAAGTTAGGAGATAAACAGCATGAAATTTGCATCCTGCATCAGTGACCATGGCTTGCCACCATCCCTAATGGGCAAATACATGAGCAAGCTGTATTATTACGCCTAGTTTGATAGTAAAAGTGGTAATCGAAAAGCGGCAATACAACCATACATGACACAAGCCATTGTTCTTCAGCAGCTTCAATATCGAACTTTTTTGCTCCTTCTAAAAAATTTTGAAAATTTTGTAAAAGTCCTGGCCCTTCGCATGATGTTCATGTTCAGTAAGCAGAACTACAGTAAATGTAACCTCAAGGAATTTAAAGTGGTTGGATGCAAAAATCCTTCCGAGAAAGAGCCTCAACCGCAGCTCTTCACTTCGAATATTTTTGCAGAGAATTCCGTTGTTGCCAAATCCAAGTTTTCTAAGCTGCTCAAAGACCAGTTTAAAATAAAAGCAACCAATACGGTCATTGTCAGGCTTGAGGAGATTGAGCAGGATAATGATTTTGAAGTCAAGAACTATGGCATTAGGTTCACCTACAGAACTAGAACGGGACTTTGCAATGCATATAAGGAAGTAAGACACATCAACCGAGTGCTTGCTGTCCAGGATCTCTATACCGAGTTTGGATCAAAGCATAAGCTCAAGAAGCACGAGTTTTACATTATTGAAGTCAAGCAACTTGCTGACGATGAGGTTACCAAGAGTAGAGTCCTGCCGTATGTTGGAAAGGATGTGAAGTTCCCAGTGTTCTTTAAGCAGTCTAATACTGATGCCGAAGTTGTTCCAGTATCAACTAATATTTTTAATTAAAGACGCCATTTTAGTACTATGCTTTCTGTTGACTTAATAGCAAGTAAATTCGGTCTGCCCATTGGCCAGGCGTTATTTGATGTTTTGATGCAATTTATGAGCTAAATGTCTCATGACATCTTAATATCTTCTTTGTCTCTTCTATTTTCAGCAAATCTTTAGTTTTGGATGAAATGTTGGCTGCAGAGCCATAATGTATTTACTCAGGTCTAGCTGTGTCTATTTCTCTATTTTTGCACAACATTAAGGATCTAGATTGCCACGTTGATAAAAATTTGTCAATGATGCGTTTGACAGTATTTATTTGGATTTATAAAATATCCCATGAGCAGAAGACTGAGACATGTATTTTCAACGCTTATAGGAGCACTGCTTTACCTATTGTTTAAAGGGCCACAGGATGTCCTGGAGGAGAGCGTGTTTCCTTCAATATTAGTTATTAATGAAGCCAACTTCACTAATCTGAAAACTGGGTCTTGGATGGTTGTTACAGAGAAGTTCAAGATCGACAATTTAAATATGTACACAGAAACGCCATCAAACTATGGAGTTCTGGTTGTCAATTCTATGAACAAAGCAAGAATTGCAGCACTACTTGGGCTGGAGAATCCTGCAGACTTTGCCATAATTAACAACGGTGTTGTTGTCAACAGGACAGTGAGCCAGAGCATAGATTTTAACGTCCGTTTCAGAAAATCATAGACTATTTTGTATATTACTGGGCAATACATTTAAAAAGCGTCTTTAAGTCTGCAACAAGCCTTGGAGAAATGGTGGAGCTATTTGTGTTTTCAACCCTGATGCTTCTATTTGAAATATTCCGGTATGCAATTGTGGAATATTAAAGTTCTAAATCAAGCACTCTTTAATACTTTTTAGCGTAAACATATTTAATCTACCAGCTATAACAGGCCAATGCAATAGAGTTTTGTGCAACAGCATTTTAACGTACCAAAACTCGCAGAAAATCTTCAATAACTTGCTCCAATTGTACTAACTTTATTTGTCATATAGAAACTTGAGGGTCTTGAATAGCTGGCCACTCTCTGCTCTGTCTTCAAATATCGCATCAATACATCTACAGGCATCATCTGACTTCCAAGAGTATTCAGTAAATATTTTCTTCAGAGACCTGAGAAAACTCCTAAATTCAAGATACTCGTCAGATGAAAACCTCACCTTTAGCAATATTTCATCTAATAAAAACTCATCTATCTTCTCCTGCATTGTCTTTTCTACCAGGTCTGAATATATACAAATTTTATACTCATCAATAACTCTATTGATTTCAACAATCACAGTGCGTCTTGTTTCATTTGATGAATATGTAAAGTAGGCTATCTTTCTAAGTATGCTCTCAATATCACTAGCAGCCAACTTTTTGATTAACTTGAATATTTCCGCATTAAAAACGGTGATTTTATCCACAGACGATGCACAAATGTGTAGCATGCCTCGGGGATGGGCTAGTGATGTCTCTCTTTCTTCATCGGAAATGAAAGCCTTTAGATCCTCAAATTCGCTGAAAATATACAGCACAGCCTTGATTTCTTCTCTGTTGATAAATCTGAAGTTTTCAATAAATAGCCTTGCATGCGAAAGTATCTGAGAAACCAGATCCTTGAATTTGAAGCTAGTGTCAGTGTCACCAAACTTGCATATATAAACAAGCGTGTCTTTGCATAGCTTCTTATATTCATCGAACCACTGCACATATCTCAATTCATGTATTTTTGAAAGCTCTGACTTAATATGATTGTACTGAACACTTGAGAGGACATGTCTAATTTCATCCAAGCCAGGATCAAAGGAATGCAGATCTTTTATCTTCTCTGCATATTCTTTGTATCTTGTGGCAAAGTTCAAAATTAGATTGCGCTGTTGACTGCTTTCAAGCTTTGCAATTTCTGTTAGTTTCTGAAATACCAAATGCTGAGTATATGAAATCAGCTCAGCAATGCTTTTGTCAGACAACCCAGACTTTGTTCTGCAATCTGAATATATTTGAATGGCATGTTCGCATTCATCATACTTCCTTAGCAGAAACTCCATGAACCATTCAGGCTTGTCAAGTCTATTAGACTCTCTATCAGACAGAAAATGGTATTCAAATTCCTTCTCTAACTTTTTGGCCAAAAAAGGCATGAATGCTTCTTCTTCAAAGTACATCTCATACTTGATCATGAAATTGATATAAAATATTAGATCAGCGATCAAAGCCGGATCTTGCATTCTCATCTTGATTTCGTGGAATATCTTCTTTTTTAACAACGCCCTCCGTGTATTGAAATACACTTCTTTCTTATCATTCAATATTGGAAACATTGATGTTTTAATTGCTTTTAGTGTATCAAACGATCTAAACACATTCAATTTTAAATCGAATGGCAAGGAATTGATCTCCTGGACTATTCTTTCTATCTGTTTTTTATATTCCTTCTCTAAATGCAGCCTCTGGCTCTTTTTATACTCCTTGACAAGATTTCTTAGAGCTCCAAACTTCTGAGTTCTCTCTTTGTAATCCTTCTTCATACCCACAATCGATGAAACTAGATTGTTGTGCAGCTCAATTTTTTCTTTTATTTCGCCGTTTAACTCGTTAATTCTAATTTCCATCTTCTTCCTATTTGATCTCAACTCAGCCAATGTTTTTTCCAGACCGCTGTGTTTCTTTTGTAGTTCATCCATTCGGGGACCTGGAAAACTTTTTTACACAAATACCAAAATATTTTTATAAAGATGAGCATACTTTAGTACATTTGATACTACAACTCCTGTTTATTTAACCATTCTGGAATAACAGAAGGCACAAATTCTGGAATAATCTAGTACTTAGCACATCTGTCGATGCTTTTTAATGATATAGGTTATATCCACGTCAGCTATTCAATAGGTAATGTGTCTCAGATGGGTTTCCAACAATCAAACACTGGCCCCTGAGTTTATATGCCAGCTCAACAGATTTACTGGTCAATGAAAAACATCCAAACACGTACAGCTTTTTCAAACGCAACTTCTCAGCCAGCTCTTTAACAACCGAATCGTCGACAATGGTATTCCAGGACACATCGAGTATTTCGAGCGACTTACACTCGTAAATCTGCTTGATTTTACTTTGGGATAGGCTTGCATGCGAAACATTCAGGTAGTTTAATTTTGCAAATGCTAAATTTTCAATATTGCTGCAATAGGAAATGTTAAGATGCTGAATATTCTGAGAAACGGGAAGCTCTGTGAGACTGACTATGCCTTCAACATCCAAATACTCAACACTAGATAAATTCGGCAGCAAATTGACATTTTTGCATCCTTTTACGCTTAGCTGCTTAAGGTCTTTTAGACATCTAACAAACTTGTCTGAAAGCTTTGTTTCGCAAATAAAGAGTCGTTGGATGTCAATTAGAAGCTCTGCCTCTTTGGAAAATCCATAGCAGTATGACAGTCTTAGTTCCTCGAGTGATCCATGGCTTTGATTAATGCCGTCGATGAACTTATCATCTAGTCTTGAACAGTTTGTTACATCCAAAATCCTAATGCTCTTTGGAACTTCAAAGTTATCTATGAGAAATGCCCCGGTAATCCTTAAAACCTCTAAACTTTGCATCGACTTAAGTATAAAGTTGAGTGTAAGAGGCCTTAATTGGCCACATTGGAAAAGCTCTAACGATTTTAGAGTTGTGGAAATATTGAAGTTCTGATCCGCTATCATTGAGCAATCAAAAACGACCAAGCTATCCTTTGAATGCTTGACCAAAAAATCAAAATAAGCCTTGCTCATCTTTCTTTTTGCACATAAATAGACCGAAATTCTTCGAAGCATTGAATCATTTACCTTCAAACTATGTAGATCTTCAAGCATCTGCTCAATTTCGTTTTCTGCCTGCACTGCCTCAAATATTTCAAAATTAACCACTTCAAATGGCTTTGAATATTGTATTTTCTTTGGCTTTCTCTTTGGAACTTGGGCTACTTGTGTTTCTAAATTGAAGACGGCATTGTCCTTTGAACTTCTAAGCTTTATTCCGCTCTCTTCAATGAAATCGGTTAGAGCACTCTTTGGTCCTTTAATGCTTCGCATCTACGGGACAAAAAAGTTTTATAAACATCAAATAAAAAACAAAAAGTTTAGTGAATGGCCAGCATGATTTAACTATATTCCTCGCTATTATAATTAGTCCCACCACATAACATGCCCAAGACCCTGATCATTCATACTTGCTTCCACAATGCCATCCTCAAATCTCAGCCCCTTAATTCTTAGCCTTACTCTTTCTCCAGTAATAAATGGTAGCTGATTTCCTTTATAGTTCCAAATCCACTTAGACTCTGCCTCTCCGCCTTCAAATTCACAGTTTTCAAACAAGTCCACTGCATGCACCTCATAAATATTTGACATTTCATCTTCAATAACGATTTTCTCTTCTTCCTGTTTTACTATCCTGCCAAACACTATTTCGTCTTGATAAAATCTATAGAAGACCACTTCAAAAATAACGTTTGCCACAAGCATTTCACTTTGAATTTCATATTCTGTAATGGCTATGATTTTATCAACAAAAAGTGAAACACCCAATGCCTCTATCAGTTTGTTTGTGTATTTTGACTTTAATTTGTCTAAAACGGCAGCATGCCTGTCCACAGATGAGGCTTTTATTTCGACAATGTCCTGGAGTTCAGACCGAACAAACATGGGACCAAATATTTTCAGTAGATCATGTGGCAGCCGTAAAAAGCTCAGCATTCGGCATATAAAAATATTTGGTGGTGCAAAACCACTTATTGCTAGTATCACCTTGCAGAGTCCCAAGCTTATCTGGCTAGTAAAATAATATTATTGTCAAGATGTGTATCAGCTACTGTTTTCAGTAGCAGCTGAACTCAAGTTAATTTAAATAAACTAATGCCATTAGGATTTAATTATTGAAAATAGATTCACTTAAAAGTCTTTGGCAAATGAAATCTCCTTTCACTACTTGTCTTTTGAAAATCCTGAATTTCTTGAACCTTTGATGCAGGGAAATCAAATGACTCAAGTGGTTTTAAATGGACATATGGATTCTCTTTTAAATTCTGAACATCGCACCAGCTGTGCTTGTGCTCCTGTTGTTTTACACTGCTGAAGTTTTTGATAATGAGCTCAATAATTTCAGATGCTGAATTGAACTTGGCTGGTGTTTCAACCTGAGACTGCTTCTGATGCTTTTGCTCATTTTGTGTATGCTTCTTGGCACCCTGTGCAGGTCTTTCTTTGCTCTTTTGAGGCTTGGCCTGAATGCCTTCATTTCCATCATGTGTGCTTGTCTTCTGTTTACTTGGGCTTTCCACATCTTTCTTTATTTTATTTGGCACTTCCTCTTTAGATGGAAGTGCCATCTCCTGCTTGGCTGTTGGGTTTGAAAGCGCTTCTAGCTCGTTTGTAATTGTCTTTTTCTTGTTCAACAACTTAGCAATAGCATTCCAGCCCTCCTTCTGAAAATCTTGATATGACTGGGTGATTTCCTTATCAATGCTTTCCAACTGTTTTTTTAATTCAGCTGTTTTGCTCACAGGCACAACCTCGGTAGCAGCTGCTGGCAATCTTTCAGCACTATGCATCATATCCCACTTTTCAGTGGGTCTAACTGTAGAGTAAAGCATATCTTCTGTGACTTCAGATTTTTTACGTGAGCACGAAGTATCGGATGCAAGCTCTTTGGCAATTTTCTCAGCCTGTGCTTCTGTGGAAGTATACTCAGGTGCCGATCTGTCAATAGTGCAGGCATATTCATCAACATCAAATGTAGGTTCAACACCAAACAGCTTTCTGTTTGCTTCAAACTGGTCCCACTCTTTCTTTTCCTGTTGTGCAGAGCCACTAGCCTTTATCGATGCAGTCTTTTGGCTTTCTACTTTGCTAGTTTTAACTGTCGACGGCCTAGCCTCATCATTTATGCCTGTGCTTTTTTTTCTTGACTCTAGAATCTTCTGAGCAGCCTGTGTATATGCTGGGTTCTTGAGCACAATTACTTGCTGCAACTGCTCATCCGTGAAGTTGTCAAAAGATGGTGCTGCCATTCTAGAAACAGTAATTACGTACTTTTTTTCTATTTTGAAAAGTGAAATGGAAACGCCAGCGGATTTACTTAAAATAGCATTACTCAAGTAAATGCTATGGATGGTTGACTTGACGAATGACCCATAGATATCTCCTAAGTCTCTAATCTTGAGGCATATATCATAAACCATGGGTAGAAAATCTTTGTTTGAATACACCGTTTGAGAGAAATTTTAAAAGAGTGAAAATGGTGAATCAACCCTGGGCAAGTCAGAAAGTGCTATAAAAATATTTATAACCAACAACGCATTCGCTATCCTAGATTTGAAATATACTCCAAAAGATCTGAAATGAACTTGCTTTTATCTTCTGTTAGACCAAATGCCTGTTTGATTTGATCAAAAATACTTTTGTCTTCTACAAAACATTTTTTCAAATCAATATCGTTTGTAACAGAAAACGAAAAATTAAAGGCCATGAAATCTTTAAGTCCATCAATAAAACTGATGTTATTGGGAAGAATCTCTCGGATATATGTAGCATTTTTACTATATTTTGCATAGAAGCAAAATATTTCCAAATACTTATATCCAATAAAGCTCTGATCGATAACTGCCAGGCTTGCATTAAAAGGCTTTGTGTCGCTGTCAATAAAGCATGGCAATGCTTTTATTTTATTTTCATCACTAAGGCTTTTCGTCTGTACCAGTTCAACCATTCTTTGTACGACAGAATCTTTAATCTTCTTGTTCTGTTCAATATTGTAGAGTCTGGATATGACTATATTGCTCAGCATTTTGAGTATAAGCCCATCAAAATACTCAGAATAACCCAAAAAGTTCGAAACCAACTCAAAAACCAGTATGTGATTGATTAATGATGCTGGCCTATTCAAAAGATAGTAGCAGATAACCATAAGCTTCAGCTTCTTTTCAGAAGTGTCAAACGGCGGTCTCATTTTCTTTAAAAAATCTTGGATCTTCAATTCCAATCCCTGGTTTGGAATCTTGTTAGGATGTGCACTGTAAACTAGGATCTTCGACCAGTCATCTGATATTTCAAGTGTGGGTGTCGTGTTTGTAAGAAGAAGCACAAGATTGCAATGTAGAATGTGGAATATAATTGGCTGATCATATGTTGCTTTTATGAGATTTATCGTTTTCTGAACTTGAGGATTCATTGGGGCTATTGTAAAACTAATTTCTTTACATCTAATGCAAGGATGCAAATTTATGCTGGGCAGCCTCTTTGGATAGTAGGCCATGCCGACCTGAGATAGATGGAAAAGATCCTGTGCTAGAATGGTTTTATGCTGGGCAAGGAACTTTAAAAGTAGTTGTATATATTACTGCTTTTTGTGGCGCCCATGGACACGCTCATCCAGCTCCAGACAATCTTCAATGAAATACAAACATGCGACTCCAGGCGCTTTTCAGAAAATATGAGCACAGTCCTTGCTATTATTCCAAGGGATAGCTCATTCCTCAGAATTATAGATTCCATTTTAGTATTCCCAAAAAGTTCACTCCCTCCAAAAGTCACGTATTTTGTAAGGCGAGTCTTCGAAGAGCTCAATGAAACAAACAAGAGCATTTTCAACATAATTCTTATGTATTTACTTGGTAAAACATACTGCAAAAGTACAAAGATTAGGAAAAACTCTCTAAGACTCATTAATGCCATGCTTGCTATTGAAGGTGATTGCTGTGATGACGATTTATTGGCCAAAATTGCCGAAAAATTGTTTGACAAAGAGCCTAGTGTTAGGAAAGAAGCATTGAAAATATGCATTATCTTCCAAAATCGACATCTTAGTGACTCTTTGACCATCCAGACCACAATTAAGGACATTATTCGGCATGATCCGTCACACGACATTAGAAGAGTCGGATTTCTTGGGCTTGAGCTTAACGAGTCAACTCTCAACTGCATTTTGGAGAGATGTGTTGATTCTAACATGCCAATTAGAAAGGCCTTTTGGATGCAATATTTTCCAAGAATCGAGCTGGAAAAACTAACGTGTGCTCAAAGGATATATCTAATGAAGAAAGGTGTTAATGAGAGAGAGTTTAATGCCAAGGAGATATTTTTGCAGAAAATTAGAAATTACGAACTAGACCAGTTTATTGAATATTTCTACTGTGAGGAGCATGAATATGAGTTATGTGTTGAAGAATATCTAAAGAACAGTACAGAGGAATATGAAATGATCAAGTACACACCTAGCTATCTTCACTTTCTAACCTGTTATTACAAAATTGCTGAAGAAAGAAATGGTAGGGATGCACTCAAGTTGTTGCCTCTGGATGAATTTTTGCAGATTTTCTATGTAAAGTGTGTAGAGCTTGAAAAAATAGCTGAAAGTGTCGAAGACTCAACCAAGCAGTTCAAAATTTTAAAATACTTTCTCAAAATACTAGGCTTCTATGATCTATTTACAGATGATTCCAAGAAGTATGTGCTTTCTATTGTCAATCACATAATATTAGCGTGTAACTTCATTCCTGTTGTTGAAGAATGTATCGTTTTACTGGCGAAGACATGCTCTGACAACCTTGTAAAGATTGCTGGTGGTCTGATTAAAAAGACAAGAGGTAGGCCCATTTGTTTTTCTATTTGTGAATTTGTCATGAAGTATCTGCCCTTTGGTGAGATACATGAAGCCATTCTTAATGAAATTGCTATTTTAGACATTGAGCAAAGCACTAGTTTGTTTTTCTGGTATTTTGTAAAAAATCCAAACCCTAATATTGAAAGCCAGTATCTTACTCTGCTTCCCAACAAGAAAGTTGTGGAAGGATGTGCAGATCTCGCACTAATGGGCATCCTCGATACAAGTAGAATTGAAGACTGTCTTTTAACCCAGCTTTCACGATTCAATCAAAACTGTGTTGTTCCTGTCAGCAAGCTTTTATTGGGAAAAAAGCTATGCTCCAGCGAGTTTGTAAAGTATCTTTTGCTGATTTATTATTCAACAGAAGCTGATTACATCCAGCAGTATCTTTCTCTGTTTTTCTTTGAATACTTCCGAATCAACCCGCAGTCGCTCATCAGTGTTTTCTGTGAGGTGCTTGAGTTAATTTCTTCAAATCACAAGGTCTTTGTTGACCAATCGCTTTTCTGGATTTCTAACACAGAAAATGCTATGGAGTATCAGTCATTGTATTTAAGTATTTGTATATTCATTTACAATAGTTATGATGCTCTTATCAGTAAGAAACACTGCTTTTCGGTGCTTTCGGCAGTACCAGTTGAGTCCTCTTGGGATCCTATGGTAACCAAGAAAATCATCACTGTTCTTGGATTGATAATCAGGAAAAGACCAAGAGAGAATGTCAATGCTCTTTTGAACCAGGTTATGGAAATAGATGATGGCACACCGCTCCCGCCTGAAGAGTTTGAAAATCTCAAGAAGGTCGTTAAAATACAATAAACCAGCACCTACATCTATGAAATTTCCATGCAGATACTCCTAGCAAGTAAATTTTCTATGTATAAATATCAAAATGTTGTGCTTTGTGTGGATATACTTTACGTTGAAGATCAGCTACACATCCAGTATTACAACTAATATGTGCAATTTGCTTAACTATGGCTTCCTTTTCATTTCCAGATCTTTCAAATACCTCCTAGCCCTACACAAATCTATCTGATAACATGTATTCTTCTGGATTTTTATATCCGCACTCTCAATAACTGCCGCTTTCTTATTGTTGATAACTTTTTCTTTAACTAAATATGGCTTTGAAAATGGATTTTCATAGATGTTCATATATGGAAACTCGTGCGAGCTCGCATAAAACCGAAACAATACTCGTAAAGTACCAATTAGAATTGTTTGGCTTATGGGACATGCTACCTATTAACTAACTGTCGTTACTTTGATGGTAAGCCTTTTTAATCTTTTGTTGTCTTTATTTTTGTAAATTTTTGTGTTCCCCATGGCAGTAAGACTTAAAAGAACCTGCATGAGGTCTTTCAAAGTAACAATGTTTAAATTGAAGGTCAAGTACCTAGCTGCTCGGAAATCTAACAAAGAAAGTGAAGGCGGCATTTTGATGGATGGCGATAATACTACTCAAGCAAACGAAAACGACACCAAAGCTAGCATATTGCATGCAAAATGTGACGGTGAAAGTTGCAAGGAGCAGGAGCCAGCCTTTTGTTGAAAAGATCTGGAATGATGTATTAGCCGATGTGGAAGTTAATTCAAATCTAGGCGGCGATACAAATGCCATTGTGTTTGGCCATAATGAAAGCCAAAGCGATGAGCATCTTAGCAATGGAGAATGCTTGGATGATGACAGTATTTTCAAAGCAAATACTCTTGTTGAAATATGCTCCAGTAGCGATCAGTCTAATACAGATATTCAGGATATAGAAGTAGAACCGCAACAAGCAAACACAAATAATCCAAATGAAGTACATAAGAATCCAGCGAATATTGATTTG